ACTGTACATATCCTTTGATCCAGCAATACCACTAGTAGGTCTATATCCCAAAGAGATTTTTTTAAAAAGGGAAAAGAACCTATTTGTACAAAAATATTTAAAGCAGCTCTTTTTGTGGTGGTAAAGAATTGGAAGAGGGGATGCTCATCAATTAGGGAATGGCTGAACAAGTTGTGGTGTATGATTGTGATGGAATATGATTGTGCTATGAGAAATGATGACCAGGATGCTTTCAGAAAAACCTAGAGAGATTTACATGAACCAATGCAAAGTAAAGTGTGGAACCAGGAGAACATTGTATGTAGTAACAATACCGTATAATGATCAACTGTGAATGACTTTTTCTCAGCAATACAATGATCCCAGACAATTCCAGGGACTCATGATCAAAAATGTTATCCACCTCCAGAAAAAGAACTGATGGAGTCTGAATACAGATCGAAGCATACTATTTTTACTGTTGTTGTTGTTCTTTTTGGGGGAGTGTGCTTTCTTTCACAACATGGCTAACATGGAAGTTTTCATGATTGCACGTGTATAACCTATATCAAATTGTTTATTATCTCAAGGAGGGAGTAGGGAGAGAATTTGGAACTCAAATTTTTAAAAAATGAATGTTAAAAATTGTTTTTACATGTAATAGGGGAAAATATTCAAAATAAAAAAAGTAACAGGCACCAATCTAAACACAATAAATTGGAAGTTAATTATCTACCTCACCTACCCCACATCTCTCTCTTAATATCACCCTTCCAGAAGGATTTAATACTGCTTGGTACTACATCTGGACTTTTCTCTCACATGATACTGAATCCACTTTGGCACAGGAAATGAAGTTTGGAGTTAAAAGTATTGGACAGGAGTAAGATGACGGGTCTATGTCCTAGTTCTTTCACATACTAGGTATGTGATCTTGATCTACCTAACAATTAGGCCCTCAGTTTCCTCAAGTATCAAATGGAAATGATGCCTATTAAAAATTACTGAAAGGATCAGAAGACAAATGTATAAAGATGACAGAAGCCAGGTGAATGAACTATAGCTCCATAAACTTGAGATTCTGGAAGTGACCTAGCTGTAACTACTTAACTAAAAATGATTTCATAAAAGTGAATCTTTGGAAAACAAGTGTGCATAGGTGGGAAGTAGCATGTGTGGTAGGAAAAGCAATGAATTTGAGGTCAGAGAATGGGAGTCCAAATTTTGGTAGTGCTACTTAATTGCTACCTGCTGAGACACTGGGAGTGTCCTATAACTTCATTAGGTCTGTTTCCTCATCCGTAACATGTGGGAGCTAGGCGTGATGATCTCTGAATGCTTTCCAATTCAAAATTCTATGTTCTGCAACTAATGAGTTGCAAAGGGATGGGATGTCATTTTTTTTTTACATCACACTGTAAAATCTAAGTTAAAGAATTCAATTTAACAAACATTTATTAAGCACCAACAATGAAAGACAATGCCAGTAAACTGATGGGCTCGGGATTTAGAAGACTTGAGTCTTAATCCTGCCCCTGACATTTATTGTGATACTATGAACAAGTCACAGATTCTCAAGGGCTTTCTGTACAACCTACTCCACAAGCTTGTAAAGAAATCACTTTGTACTCATGATGGAAAATGCTATCCACATCCAGAGAAAGAACTATGGAGTCTGAATGCAGATCAAAGCACTATTTCCTCTCTTTTTTTTTCTTTCTCGTAGTTTTTCCCTTTTGTGCTGATTCTTTTTTCACAACATGACTAATATGGAAACACTTGTAATATGATTGTACATGTATAGCCTATATCAGACTGCTGGCCATTTTGGAACTTAAAATCTTATAAAAGTGACTGTTGAGGGGTAGCTAGGTGGTGCAGTGGATAGAGCTCTGGCCTTGGAATCAAGAAGACCTGAGTTCAAATCTGACCTCAGACACTTGACACTTACTAGCTGTGTGACCCTGGGTAAGTCACTTAACCCTGACTGCCTCACCAAAAAAAAGCAAAAGTGAATGCTGAAAATTATCTTTACACGTAGTTAGAAAAAATAAAATAGTAGTAAGTAAAAAAAAAAAGTAATCACTTTGTAAGTCTTGAAGTGACATGTTGTTATTTTCAGCACTTTGACAGGGTTCACATATACATGACTGAAACATGTCACTACTCTGCTATTATTCTTATATTTTAGTGTTATATGGAATACAGCATAGGTGACTAAAATAACTGAATTAAATAAAAGTATTGATGCAAGTACTTTCACTGGAGATTCAGTGAAAGCATTCTTAGCATAGTTTCAGTTGATGACAGAACAAGAAGGATGATGCATACCTTGGCCTGTTCCCATATGACTTTGATATCCCTCCTAGGTGTCTATATTTTGAAAGTTTTTCATTCCATCTATCTTGGAGATTATGAGTATTTGGAATGGCAACATTTGCTAAAAACATTGCTCTTAGGTTTTCATGGATCAACATTATGTCCAGGTTATTTTGGCTAATAGTTTGGGCAATAGTAATAGTCTAGTTCAAATAGTTTATAGGTTGAGATCTCCAGCCTGAATTTGTAGCATGAGAATTTGTCACGCAAGTTCATGGAAGACTCCTAATTTTAGCCAACAGTTAATGTCATGCTAGGTATTTACAAATTGCAGCAAAGTTTCTACCATTTTATTGTATTTTTGTTGTATTTATTGTATTTATTGTATAATCTACACTGATCAGAACGTTCAGCCTTCTTAAGAATAACCTTCTATAATTCATGGTGGCAATGACCTGGTCCTGCATTGTCATACTAAATCCTTCTATTTGCACAAACAAATCCACATGACTTAGGCAATCATTCAATACTTCTTTTGTCAACATATTGCCTGAGTTCATGTGGATATTGCCCATGAAAGATCTTTTCATTCCATCCTTAGACTTTGGCTATTTCATAAACTCCATTCTGAGATAAGCCATTCTTAGTCACATTCAACAAATTCAAGGTATACCTGTTACCAAACTGTATGCTATGGCTCAGTGAAATGATATACAAATGTTCCAAACATATGACCTATTTATCTCGTACACTAAAAATGTCTATCCTCTTCTTTTTGGCAAGGAAATATTCTTCTCTCTATATCTGCCTCAGGGTAATGTGTTTCATGTTTCATTAATACTATGTGGATTTTTGTTAAAATACCTTCCAAATCTGTTATGGTACATTTTGCAGTTAGAAAAAATACAATGACTGATGTTACATAAAGTGCTGATTGCTTCGTATGTGCTCTTCACATTCAACTTTGATTTCAAGATGCCTTTCTATCTCATAACAAATGTAACTTGCCTGGAGAAGACTGATGCATTATCGCTGTTGTTGTTTTTACTACAGTCCAGACTTTGGATTTCATTGGCCTACAGAAATCCCTATTCTGAAACTTCCTCTAGCGAAATAGACAAGAAATGACCATACGAATTTCAGACTAGAAAGTTTCCTGGGATACTAAAAGGGGGTAATGAAAGGTTAAATGATTTACCCAGGTCTCACAGCCAATATGTGTGGGAAGCTGGACTAGAATCCAAGTCTTCATTCAAGGCCAGCTCACTACCCACTATGCTTTTAAAAAAAAAAAGTAAACTGTTTCAAAAGGTGTTAATGCTTATGCACACAGTTCATTTTTCTTTAAAATAAAACACAGGATACTGAAAAGTACATTAACAAAAATATAATTTCACTGAGGAGAGAAAACTCTCTAGCCTAACACAGTGCTTTATACATATGTATATAGAATGTCCAAAAAGAGCTGGGAGGTGGAGGAGGGAGGCAGATGAAGATGAGAGAGGGATTCATGGCTCATATTTTATACAAACATGTACATGTACACATGTATACACATGCATTTATATATGTAAATGTATGCATATAGACATATAAATGATATATAACACATATATGTAAGCATACAGGATGTTCCAAAAGTATTACTGGTTATATTATGAAAACTATTAAGCTTTAATACTTTTAAACATTAACATTTTATTTGCATTTAACATATAAATATTTAAGTTTCAAGCAATTAATACTTATTTTGGGCCAGCCTACATGTTTATTTTCCCTTCTTTGCATTTGAAGGGTGCTGCCTGGCACACAGTAGGCACTTAACAAATGCTCATTTAGCGGTGAATTCTCATCCCCATTTGACAGGTAAGGAAGCTAAGCTGCGGGAGGCGAAGCTGCATGTCCAAACCTCCTGGGACGGTGAACAACAGATCCAGGATTTGAGCTCAGGTTTCCCATTTGCAAGGGAGTACGAGTTAAGTCTGCCCCTGAAAGCTGGCAGAGCTTCGACTTTCTGCCCAAGGAGATTGGTAACGGAGATAAGAATTGAAGAAGTGGGACGCCCACTACCAATCCGGACAATGGGTACACAGCAGGGCCGGGGCCGCGCTTGGAGGATGAGTTCTAGGGCTAACAACCTCCTGGACCGCGGGAGGGGGAGGTCGGTCCCTGCCCTCCCCTTGCCCCCCTCCCGCTGCAGCGCCCCCCCACCCCAGGTCCACATGGAGGTCAGAAGTTAAGTTGTCCCTCCTTCCTCCACCACACCTACCTTGAGGCTCCCCCGAGCCCACACTCTTCTAACCGCCGCCTCCCACTCCGAAAAGTCCCGCGCCCACAAAGCATCCTGGGAATGAGGGGGAGATGGGAAGCCCTCCTAACCCGGAAACGAAGTGGAGAGTACTGGGAGGAGTTCAAGAGGGGAGAAGGGGAAGAGGGGAGGGCGGAGGAGGATGGTAAGTTTGTCTACAGAATGAAACGCGTCCAGCGCCCGGAGGAAAGGGCGGGGCATGAGGCAGAGGGGGTGGAGCCTCCATTCGGGGTGGGTCTTGGTTTGTGGAGGAGTGACTCGAGAGGGCCGGGATTGAAGGAAACGCGACTCGGAGCGTTCTGGTCCCGCCCCCATCCCCGAGGCGGCGGCCGTGGGTTGGACGGCTGCTCAGGAGCCTCCTCCTTCTCCCTCCCACCTCCGTGCTGTGTCACGAGACCCGCCCGCCCAGCCCTTCCGCCCCCTGCCCCGGTGGACCGTCTCCGTTTTAGTCTCCGCGGGCACTGGGCTGGTGATGTGAGACCGGGCGGCGGTGGCAGCGGCGGTGGTGGCGGTGGCAGCGGTGGCAGCAGCCGGGACCATGGCCCAGGTGAGCAGACGCCGGAGCGCGCGGGCGGGCTCCGCTCCCGGCCGGGCCTCAGGTGCCTCCCGAGGCCTAAGAGCCTTCTCTGGGAAGCGGGGGACAGGAGGAGCCGGGAGCGGGGAGACCAGGGAAGGGGGCCCAGCCGGCCTCACCGGGCTCAGCTTCGGTTCGTGTATCCTTCTCCAGGTTCCCTCTCAGGAGAAATCTAAACTTGTCAGCGAGACCCGGAGGAGGTTCGAAGCCGAGTATTTGGCAGGTGGGTACCGCGAGGGGATGTCACCGTCTCTCTCCCCAACTTTCCTCGAGGGCCCGCCGGGCTCCCCCTGGAAACAGCTCTAACCCTACGGTCCCCCGCCCTCCGTGCCTCTAATCTCCTGCCTTGCTTGGACCGTCACCTGAGGAGTAGGCGTGGCGGGTTTGGGTTGCTCAGGGTAATCCTGGGATTATGCTGAGGTTGGAAGGGACCTCACGCAGTCCAAGGGTTCTTAACCTATGTTGAGTGTCATGGTCTCCTTGGGGGTCCAAAGAAATCCTATGGACCCTTAAGCCTATGTACCCCCTTGGAAATCTGATGAAGCCTGTGGACCCCTTTGGCAGGTTGATGAAGCCATTGAACCCTTTTGACATGGTAATAAAGCCTGTGGACCTTTGGGCAGTCTAATAAAGCCTATGGACCACTTTTCAGGATCATATATTTCAATGCGTTAAAAAATAAAATTATTTTTAAAATAAGAGAGATGCAAAACGAACCAATTATATTTAAATACACTTTTAAAGATAATTTTTTTTTTTAAAAATGAAGCACAAATTTAGAACCCTCTCATTTTCCCACTGAGGAAATTGAAGCCCAAAGGGTAAGCCCTGATATTCCATAGTAAATAACAAAGTCTGGTTTGGAGCTTAACTGCAAAGGCAGTGCTAATTGGACTTGATTATTCTGAGGTGCTAGTGTAGAGATTTAAAGGGAAAAAATGTGTTTGAGGGTTTTTTGTTGTTTTGAGGTTTTTTTGGATACTTTCAGCCTTCTCACTGGGGTGTGCCTGATTGAGATAAGCAGGTTGTACCAGTGCTTCGTGTTAGAATACTTGAAACTACCCTGCAAATGGTTTCTGTGCTGATAATTTCATCAGTTTACAAAAACAAAATCTGTGATGTTACAAAATAGGATGTCTCTAAATTTTATGCTCTTTGGAAGGAAAACCTGTGTTTCTGTATTGCCAATAGTGCTTACTATATAGATGCTTAGTAAGGAATACTTCTATTCCTGGGTAGCACAATTGTTATGGTAATAAGGTAGATTGACTTTTTGTGTTACTTGTATTGCATACCTTTAAAAGGACTCCAGTTATGTTTGTTTTGAAGTGTGAATGGTTATTGTATATTTGTAAGTGTCAAAAATCTTGCAGGCAGGAAATTCTCCATTTGAACTGCTTTAGCTTCCCATTTTATCTAATGGGGAAATGCTCCAAGCTATAGGAGCTTGACACTAATGTTGAGTGGTTGTGTTGTACTATTAAATACAGTTGTAGGTTAGATGCCTGCTAATGACCTAGAATAGGTGATTGAAATCTTTACAACAACCTTCATATTTCAGGAATACTTAAATTCTCAGCATTTAAGTGCTTATTCATATAGATGAGAGGGTGAATAGGTTGATATATGAGTGAAGAGTAGGAGATGTGTACAAGAGATACTATAAAGTTGGGGAAGATACATAATCATGTTATGTTCTTTCTAAAATTATTTTCACTTATTTGTCACTAAAGGATCCCCAGTACTTAATAAGTCACGGCTATAATTTACAAGTGATGCCCTGGTGAGTATGGTATGCTCTTTGGAAGGACTTACTCTACGATTCAGTAATATAGATTCATAGAATTTTAGAGCTGGAACAGTGCTTTAGATATCACCTAATCATCTAATCCAACATCATTTGGAAAATAAAGGAGTTGAACAAGATGACCCCTAAGATTCCTTCCAACTCTACTATAATCCTATGATCTAGGTCCCTGCAGATTGTGATTTAGGCTTTCCAGTAGGAAGCTTGTTTCTCTTTTCATCCAGTATGTGCAGTTAAAAATACTAATATACCTACTATAGGTAATTTCTTTTGCTTGTGCAAAGAAAGGAAAATTATAATCTCTTATATTCTTTAAGTGTGTATCTTTGAATTATTTACTGAAGTTTAGGGTTAAACAAGGTGAGCTGAGGAAAAGAACATTTTTTAAAGTATTTTTGATTCTGCCTGCTAAAACTAGATCCATCCTTAAGTTAATTATTTAGAAATTCCTAACTATCCTCAGTAACTTGCTTTGCCTTATTGCCAGTTTATGATATGTTGTTGCCTGAGTAGAGTTTCTATACAATATATATGGGTAGATGAAAGTATTTATAAGAATTAATAATAGCAAACTGAAAAACTACTTAGAATAACAAGGTACACACGGTCTTTGACTTAAAACTGGAATGTGTTCCAGATGTTTGTAAGTCCTTTTGAAAAGTTTTTCAGTAGAAACAATGATTGGGTTTTGGACTTGTCTACAGAAGCACATTTTATCATAATTAGCTAAATTCAACTACAGTATTAATAGTTGCCTAGTGTTTAATTTTTTTTTCCCCATAAGAAAAGATAGATGGCCTGTGTAGTAAGATAAACTTGAATCAGGCTAGTATGATGGTTCATGTTTGGTTTTGGAATGAAATAAGACACTAACAGTTAACAAAAGGTTTACTTGAACCAGAACATAGAAAAGATAATCAGCAATGATACAGCACTGATTTAGTTGAGCATATCTTCACTACCTTTATGTTGACCATGTAGAAAGCTGTCAAACCTGAGAGAGGAACTCCTGGGCAGCTTTTATCCTTAGGCCGCTGGAAAAGCTACATCAAGGGCCAACCAATTATATCTCTACAATTTCACTACTTTCTTAAAGAAAATTAGTTGTGCTTATGTAGGAGGGAACCTTCTGTGTGTTATTCCCATCACAGTGGCCTATCTATGTAGTACCTTGGACAAGTCACTAATTTCGTTAGGTCTGGGTTTCCTTATCTCTAAAATGAAGGGGTTGGATTGGATGACCTCTGGGTTCTTCCTAGTTCCAGATTAGTTCCCCCAACTAGGAAAACATCTTTCTCTTACCTCTGTTCTTATTTGCTCCTTAACCTTTTGTTTGTTTATTTAAAATTTGATTCCTTTTGGTTATGAACATAAGCATCAATAAACATGAATGATTCAGTATGCCAAGAGCAGAATAGATTATATATGAAACTGAACTTCTGTTAGTGTTTTTTTTTAGTAGTCTATATTAAATTTTATATAGTAACAAAAATGCCCTGAGTCACTTCCTGAGCTTCTTTCTCTTCTTTTCCATATATTTTTATTACTATTACATTAACCTTCCTTTTTTTTTCTCCTTTCCTCCCCCCTCTATATATAAGTCCTCCTTTATACTATTAAGTATAGTCAAAACAAATGAAGAGACTGGTTATGTCTAAAAATGTATTTCCTGCTCTGATCACCTGGTATCCATTTGTGTTTAGACTCCTGTTTCACTTGTTCCCTATGTTGTAATTATCAGAGCCTGATTTTCTTGGCTATAGAATGGAATGTGAAAACCAAGGAGGCTATTGCTAGAGTGCTGTCACTTTTTGTTATCAATTTCCAATTGGTCACTAGCTCATTTAGAAAATTGTTGTATTAGATGTGTTGACAGCATTATACTCATTCTGTCTTGACATGTGTTATCTATTTGATAGATATTATATTTTTTGTTTTCTCTCTTCACTTAAGATTTCCTATCTATAATTTCAGTGTGATAAGATCATTTAGATTTATTTAATTAGGAAGAATTCAATTGAATGAACACATTTTCTTAACAGCAACTTTTGGGGAAGGTTTACACAGTTGTCACTTGTAATTATTTTTAGCTATGTGCTAGACATTCAACTGAGAATAGGAGAGAGAAAGAGTGTGTGTGTGTGTGTGTGTGTGTGTGTGTGTGTGTGTGTGTGTGTGTGTGTATAGGCTAGGCAGTGTGGTATAGTAGAAAGAGTTCTGAACTGAGAGTCAAGAGAAGTGTAATACTAGTTTTGTAACCATGGGCAAGTCACTTAATTTAACTCATAGGATTGTTGTGAGGCTCAAATAAAAGATGTCTGTAAAATATTTAGCTGATGCATAGCACTTTAAAAGGTTTGCATTATAAAACTATTAATTTGAACTTGAACTAAACAGACTTTTTTTTTCCAGAGGCAGTGCTACTTGTTTCATTCTTTAGGTTTCTTTCAGCATTCTTCTCCATTTGCCTTTTATGTTAGATTATCTATTGACAGTTTTTAGCTTTACATTTAAAGAAAATTAAGATACAACTCAGTAGATAATTCCTGTATCCCTCCCCCCTTGCAAAGTATCACTAATCAAATTAAAAGTCACATTCAATTCAGCTGATATATATATTAAGCCTCTTCTATGCACAAGATGGCACTCTGCTAGGCACCATGGTATATAAAGAGCTAAATGAGGCAATCTGGTTTATATACAGAAGCATTCTGAAAACACAGTTTGTATCAATGCCACTATTTGATTTCATAGGTGAATTCACTTTTGAAACTTCAAGTATGTGGTTGGGAAAAGAGAAATTATAGAAGACATTATGATTATAATACCCTTCTTTTCTAAGCCTTACTAAGTATTTACATTCCCAATTAATTTTCTGCTTTTGTTTTCTTTTCCTCTAAAAAATATACTAGGTTTTTGCAACATTTTTATTTTAGCCCTAGTTTAAGAAATGAAATTGTAATTGGACTGTTATAGTAGGTATAATTCTGTTGTTTTGTATAAGTGGTCTCCTTGACTGTAGTTTTTCTCCTCAATCAATTCATCACATTATTTCTGAAATGACTTTCATAATACATAGATTTGACTAGGTCATCTCCATTTTTTTCAGTAACCTCATGGCCACCATAAAGTAAAACTTAAATAAATTAAATTGATATCTGTGTAGTTAATACTGCCCCCACTTATTATTTAGTCATATTGAGAACTGACTGCAAGCTATTGTCCGTTAGAAGTATTGTACGGTGTGTAGAAAAAGGCAATAACAAACTACAAAGAATTATATTTTAATGCAAATAGTTTAAAAAGGTACAGATTTAATTTAGAACATCAGAGCACTGCTAGACTTCCCCTGCCACCTCTTAAAAACAAACAAGTAAACAAAAAACTTGCCATGGAATATACTTTGTATGCAGACT